TCCTCAAAAGGCTGCAATACTTCACTGTGAATTGCTTATGGTTAGGGATATTTTCACATATATCCCTAACCATAAGCAACTCACAGTGGCCTTAAATCATTAACCACAACCTTAAACACAGTTCTTGTTTTGTTGTTGTTTTCAGCAATAGAAATAGTACAAGAAAAATAAATTTTTTCTTTCAGCTATAGTAGTATATAATATCTGTTACACAAGGGCAGTTAAAGTAGTTTACTTTCATATTTCTATTTCCCGTTCTCAAAAGACTTCCAAGGATCAGGTCTGTTTTAATTACACCGCACACTGTACTGGACCCTTTTTTCTCCCACAGACTGCTCTGTGTGTCTGTAGTTTGCTGAAGGATTTGTGAAGGACGTGTTGGCATGCTCAGCTCTTGGCACGGGAGAGTTGTGGATGGTTATTGTACTGTTATTGTTTGAAAGCAGCAGTCACTGTGTCAGAACCACAAAACACCAAAGCAGAAAGGAAATAAAGCAAGCCCTGTGTAGCTCAAATACAGCTTTTACAAACCCAATATCTGCCTCATAAAGAGTCACAGGGGCGCTGCCAGAGGAGAATATGTCTCTCCCTTTTTCTTTTCTTTATTGCACACCATAGGAAACAGATAAACAAATCACAAAAGGACTTGAAGGTGGCTCTTTTGACTTCAACCAGAAAGCAACAGCATAACAATAAATCAGCTAAAGCTCAAAGCACCCTAGAAATCGCACAGCAACAACAAAAAATAGCAACCACCTAGTGACACCCTGGCAACCACACACAGCACCCACATCTGGTCAAACAACACTCACATTTTCTTGTTGGTTTTTATATATTTTTATGGTCACTTTATTTTAAGGTCACTTTTATTTTAATATCAACTAAGACTTTTGCCTCAATAAACTCCTAATTTGCTGCTTATTAATAGTTAGTAAGGTAGTTGTTAAGTTTAGGTATGGGGTGGATAAAGGAATCTAAAATATGGTCATGCAGAATAAAGCATTAATATGTGCCTTATAAGTACTAATAAACAGCCAAAATGCTAGTAATATGCATGCTAATAAACAACTAGCTAAATAGCGATAATTGGTTCTTTAAATAAAGTGTTACCATAAACAATTATGAGAACATGCATCTTTTTCTTAGAGTAACATGCAAGGATGAATCGTTCACAGTAAGACCAGGAACTTTTGTTACGAAGGTACATCGTTTTTTTTTATTTCATGCTGACTTAATTAACTTTAAATGATTAAAGCTATCTGCTCTTAATAAATAAGTTGTTGTTGCAAGCAAAACTCTCCCTCACATCCATCATTCAATAGTCAGGTTAAAGACATTATATCCACCACATCCACATTCCCTGCTGTCATCATCCACCTCACATGTGTGCAGCTGGATGACGGAGTGAAGCGAAGGGACAAGCGTCTGTAATTTAGCCGCTCAAGCTCGCTCTCACACACGGCCACATTGATGTGTGCACAGCCCTCTAAGCCAAAATTGCACTTCTATAGTCTTAAAGTGCTCTGGCTTGTCGTCATTAACGGATCTCTTTAATCTGACGCTTGGAAAACTTCTTAAAGCAGCACACTACAAATAGAAATTCCACATGAAGAGCCGGCTAGTGCTAACAAAACATGGGCTGCAGTTTAAAGAGGCCCTCTCTTTTCTCTTTTCTTTTCTATTGCATTTACCCGAGGGAGACATACTTGTCTTATCGTTTGAGGTGGACCACCCAAGAAAAATGACTCGGGTCTCACCTTTGAGTGTGAGTGAGCTTTTCAGCTCAGAACTTGCACATCCCCATCTTTGCAAGTCCGTACGTGTGTGAACGCTGTATTAGTTGTGTGCGAGTGTGTGTTTTAGTAATCTATGGGGATAAACAGCTGTTGAAGAAAACCAAGAGGGCCGAGACAAGAAAGTGAGAGAATAAAGGCTATTGCCATGCCTCTCGCTCCATTCAATCCCCCTTCCCTTGCCCCCAGGAAATCAAATGTTCCACGCTTGCCGCTTGTTTAGATTGATCCCGCTCTGGCTGGCTGATAAAGAGCGTATCGCCCTGGCCATCTGGACCCTGTTTGGAGAGATTCACCATAGAAAATCACACGTTCACGCAGAGAGGAACAACAGCTGTGAGGTTGCTATGCTTCCCTCGGCCCTTCAGAAGGTTTCAAGGGAAAACACAAGGCGGTATCAAGGTGTATCCTCGATCGAGTGCAGCCGGGGAGTCCGGGAGACCTAGGGTTCACGGCGAAGTGGCCCTTTGAGTGCTCTCCCTGTCCCAGGAGATCAAATGAAATGGAGCCTGTAGTGCATCGGTACACAAATCCACTTTAGGAGCTTGTCTTTTGTGGCCTCCCTCACCTTCGTGCTCGGCTTAGCCAGTGACCTTTGTCCCGTCTGGAAGGACATGATGTGCTCTTCAGGAGAACATCGGGACAAAGGGATCACCCACAATGACTCATTCAGGCTGTTTATTAATGAGAGCCGCAGATGACAGGGTCCTTTTATGACAAAGACGGAGATATTTTCAACCCCTCACCCCACCCCGGCACTCAACTGTTTCGTAAATCTTCTAGGAACCACATGAAAGACTCGGCTCATAACTGTCAGCACTCTTCCAGGAAACATCACCACACAAAGGCTGTTACATTTCTGGGGTCTGCTGGCGTTCGGGTTACTGGCTTGTTGTGTTTCATTAGATGTGGACTGGTATACATGAAGGTCATGACTTCGTTGTTCCCTAAATTTCCCTCTAGGCCTGTCCAAGGTCCAACCCTAACCTTCTGCCTCACCTGCCGATAGGCACTGTATTTATGATGAAAATAAGGCTGCAAAGGACTGAAGTACAATTAATTTAATATGCAATACTATTTTAAGGTTAATCTAAGGTTTTCTTGTCCACTGGAAATGTTTTTGAAAAACATACTTTCACTGTTTTTTTGGTTGATTGATCAATTTGTGGTCACACTTTATTTTAACCCCTCAACTGTCACTCACATTTTTGAACATAGACATGAAAGTGCACGATCCAAACTTAAATTTGTATAATTCATGAACGCAAACATTTTGTAACATGATATTGATGTACCATTTTCATGGTAATGCAATGTTTGATTTTAAAATGGGTTTCAAAGGATGAATTTTGAGATTTAAAGTTTTCAATTGATATATAATTTCTGATGATTTCTAAAGTGTGATAGAGAAAAAGGCAACAAAGACGACTTTTTTTTGACAAAGGTCAGAACTACGGTGGCCGAGAAGTGCAAAGCAAATCACAAATGTGCTTTCTGACTTGTTATTTTGTTTTCGAATTTGTCATCGTGTTTTCTGACTTGTTATAATGTTTTCTGAATTGTTGTTGTGCTTTCTGAATTGTTATTTTGTTTTTTAGACTTGCATTTGCATTTGAAATTTGTTATTTTGTTTTCAGAATTGTGATTTGCTTTGCACTTCACGGCCACCGTACAGAACTCCTGTTACGATGTAGATTTTTGAGGTGCACTCTTGTCATAAATTAATCTACTACTTTTCCTACATAATTTTTAACAAAAACATTGGTAAAATATCTGTTTAGGAGTCTTAGACCTTTCCAAACGATATATAGTTTGTCATGATTAGATTAGGATTTAATTGTAATATAATGAAGTAAACTTAGGCATCCCACAGAGGGGAATGGGTGACGGTTAAAGGGTTTTAAGGTCAAATTCTCACCATTAACAAACCATTAACTATGACTTTTGCCTCAATAAACTCCTAATTTACTGCTTATTAATAGTTAGTAAGGTATCTGTTAAGATAGGTATTGGATAGGATTAGAGATGTAGAATATGGTCATGCAGAATATGTGCTTTATAAGTACTAATAAACAGCCAATATGTTAATAAAAGGCATGCTAATAAGCTACAAGTTAAAAGTGAGAATTGGTCCCTATACTAAAGTGTTACCCAATTAGTTTTTCTTTGATTACACTGGTGCATGTTTGTTTTTACATTGGGATTTACATAATGCTATACTTTTTTATGCTTGGCATAGCCAAGGGTCAATACAGCTGTCATTCAGTCAACTTCCATTGCATTACACCATCACTGACCTTTCACCCTTCACAACCAGAAAGTCAGGCCTTGTACTCGGCCAAAAAAAACAAAAATTACTGAGAAAATCTTTTTTTCATTTGATTGATTGAAGTCAGTTCAGTGGGAATTAAATATGATTTTTCCATTTACCCACTGCTATTTATGAATTAAAATGACATGGTAGCTAGTCATTTGTGGGCATGTCTGTATGAAATTGAAGCTGAGAGAGAATGGAAAATGAAAATGCAGATTAATTTGATGATAAGCAAAATCACTCAGTCCATATGCCTGTTCATGATTACATCCATTATGGTCACAAAAATATTTAATTATGGTTTATTGTAGCTTCTTATATGCTTTAGTGAAGTGTTTTTTTTTAAAGATTCTGTTGCATCATAAAAGAGACTCATATTGTATTGTGACCAGGATGTGCCGAATGAGAATGATACTTAGCATTCGTCCAATCAGAATTGTTTTGCGATTTCTTAAATGGATCTAGCAGGCCTCCGAGGTGAGCAACTGCTTTGCTAACATCCTGTTGTATACTACTTCCTGTTTGATATCACCCAACAGATCACTTGGCCGAAACTCTAATGTCTACTTTATTGTACTCTCGTTTTTCTACTTTTCATAGTGGATATTCAGAACTGAAGTGTACAGTTGTGCTAGAAACATCTGGTTCAAGAGAGAAAAACCTTGCCTAGAATCCTTTTCTACTTGGCCCTTTAAAAGAATGAATAGTTGATTTTATTCTACCTGGTTTTGAAATGAAATAATAGGGTGTCAGCTGATCAAACTGTTTATGATGTATTTGATACCCTTTGTTATGGATCTGATTGATGCTCGGCTTTATTGACAGTGATGCTTCTTTCCTTTATCTGGAATCTGCTTTATCTAATACTCGATTCACTCGATTTTTCCTTTCAGGTTCTTCAAGAACGTGTGCAGGCTCTGCAGAGACAGCTGCATGCCGTTGAGAAGAAGTTGATGAGCCGCGAGCTGGAATACCAGGAGCAGGTAAAATTACAAACGGCTTGGACCTCAGTGCATGCCACGTCCCCTGGAGGGCCAGGAAGAAGCCACGTCTCCTCACTGAGTCACTGATATGCCCTGCACACATTTTACACATTCCATGAGATCCGGCTTCAAGAGCCAGAGCCCTGGGCCAGGAATGCTGTACCCATTTCAGAGGGATTTCTCAATAATAACAGGCCACTTTGACCTTGAGTTAAAGAAAAAAGAGAGAGAGAGAGAGCTAATTAACTGATTAATAGCTCCGGGTGGGTCTCTGGACCTGCTATGTGTGTAGAAACGCCCTTTTCGTCCTGGAAACCTCTGCTGACCTTTATTGGGCTCCTCAGACAGTTGTTGGGATGTGCCCTGGGCTGAAGTATCTGTTCAACCACAGACTGGCTCTCTTGAGGAACAGCTGCACTGAGTTGGCACTGTATTCTGTGGAAGAGCCCCAAAGCTCTTTATCTGACTGAGTGCCAGTAGATTAGTGGTCAGGCTATGTGTTATGACGAACATACGCCAGACACTTGACAACTAGGGACAACTAGATGGTCTCTAGATTGCTTTAACTGTAAAGTCAGCATGAAATGAATTTTTTTTTTTTTTTAAAGAGACCAGAAATGAATGTCACACATAAAGAAAAATGGGTAAATCTTTATTTTAAGGACCAGTTCTCAATATTAACTAGTTGCTTATTAGCATGCATATTACTAGCTTAGCCTATTGCCTGTTTATTAGTACTTATAAAGCACATATTAATGTATTATTCTCCTTGACCATATTTTAGATCCCTTAGTCCTACCACATACCTATCCAAACTTAAAAACTACTTTGCTATCTATTAGCCTAATAAGCAGCAAATTAGGAGTTTGCTAAGGCAAAAGTCGCAGCTAATAGTTAGTTAATATTGAGAATTGGTCCCCAAACTAAAGTGTGACCAAAAAATGCATCCCCAAAATTACTTGCGCTCTTGAACCGCCCAAAATGCCACCATAACCAAATACAAAATTAAAAATGGAATGTTTACAAAATATCAAGTACGTTTCCATCATCTAGTGTTGCTGCTTGGGTACTGCTTGGGTTCCTTATCCCTACACTCTTACTTATGCTAAAGTAACAAATGTTTTTTGCAGCAGTCTTTCAAAATGTATTAACATTTACACACCTCTGACATGCTTCTTTTGTGATTTACTGTTAATATCATAGGCTAATGATCATGAGCCAGTAAAATCCAGAATCAAGATAAAATCAAGTCCCACTTACTTTGTCACTATTATGAAATATGTCACTTTAGGACACTTTTGTCATCAAAAAAGCTGATACGCATCAATTGAGCATCAAAATTAAAACAAATTGCAATCCATTTGACGTCTGTAAGTGTGTATTTCTGAGTAAACCAAAAAAAAAGTATCCATCAGGAATAGTTAGTGATAACTCATTTCAAACTCATTTGCTGTTTTCTTTTTCATAGAACGGCAGTTCATTTGCCCTTTAAAGGACAAAATAAACCATAATAGCTTGATATTCATGGTCTCTATGCAGTGTTGTCGTAAAGAAATGTCATTCTTCAAAAACTCTTCTTGAATATGAGGGTTACACTTTTTGAGGGTCAATTTTGATTTCATTCTGACTTCAACAAGCCCTGGAGACAAGACCTTCGCTTTAGAATGCGATCGCCAACCCCAGGCCTCCTTAAGAGACAGAGCGCCTGCAAAGAACATCTACTCCCACCTCATAAACCCTCACAGCACTCCACATCTCAAACGCTGTGCATGTGTTCGTGAGAGAGGGAGTATATGTGGAAATAAAGGCTGAGAGGCCTGCTCTCTTTTCAGTGCAGTGATATTGCCCCAGTTTATCTTCCAAGACATGTCTTTGTAATGCAATCCTCGGCATGCAAAAACAGCCCTCTTTTTGCCCAGACTTCAAACAGATGTTCCTCGCTCGGTTGCTCCGGGCCCCTCCACGCCTGCTTGGCATGAAATGTCGGCATGGCAGCGGCGTGTTTCTGCGCAGTCTCGCTGGTACGCAGGATGAGACGATTACAGACACAAAGCCTTCGAAACAGTTAAGTTACGGAGTCCTCCGAGAGGTTTCCTCCCGAGGCACAGCAAGGTGCTATTTTCATATTAGGATGGATTTGACATGTTAGTTAAACAGGAGCTATTCGCTGCATGCTAAGTGTGCTGACGACTGCAGTGCCGGCATTGAGTCTTAATCTACCGAATCTCCCTTCTTCGCTGGTGAGGGTGAAGCCGAGCTTTTGATGTAAGCATGGGATTTCGGTGATGTCAGTGATGATGCATTTAACACTCCCAGAGCTTTTAATTCTTTACTTGCTTTATTAAACTTAAAGTATGTCATTTCTTTATGACTGAACGTTTTTCAAAAATAATCATTGTTTTTCAGTAAGGTTCCTGAACACTCCCCCCATCTGCCATTGGTCAAACTGACCGTCCCTCCCCAAACTCACTCAATTGATTGAGTCGGTATTGATATGTCAGATGCTTAAACAAACAAATTGCATGGGACAGAAGGTCACACGTTAGTGTGGGGACCAATTCTCACTATCAACTACGACTTTTGCCTCATTAAACTCCTAATTTGCCGCTTATTAATAGTTAGTAAGGTAGCTGTTAAGTTTAGGTATGGGGTAGGATTAAGGGATCTAAAATATGGCCATGCAGAATAAGGCATTAATATGTGCTTTATAAGTACTAATAAATAGCCAGTATGCTAGTAGTATGCATGCAATTGGTGCCTAAAATCTTGCATTTAAAAAAAAAGAACCGCAACTATGAACCAGTTAGCACTTTAAATATGTAAAGCTTATGATGCCAACCCCCAAAGACAGCCTCTACTACTATATGGAGTAACATACACTTTTCAAGACCCAATTGATCCCAGATAAATCCTGTCCAGTTTTTTTTTTCTGGTTGATTTCCGTTTTTTGGTTAGAAACATGTCAGATTAAACCAATAAAATGAGCTGCAAATTCTATTTGTTGCTATTTCTTGTTGACTTAAATATTGTATTGTATAAACAAATAAATTTTGTGCATTGTATAGTTACTGTTATTTTTTGCCAATGACAGGGTCATTAGATTTGGCTATGAATTTCCACAGAAAAGATGCCTAAACCTTAGATCTGTTCCTCTCCACTGCCAACGCACTGTAGAGTAAGTGCCGTCATTTTCCATTAGCTTCCCATTACCGCACCGGTGCTACTGTGGAGCCCCACTCCACTGGAGTGGCACTTCATAAATCATACTTCTGCTTCATAACTTCATAAAGAGCCTCCTCCAACCTCTAATTTCTGTTCACATCACTCCCAGCTTCTTGAAAACGCTTTTTTTTTTCAGTTGGCATGCTATTCAGAGAGCTTCATACTCAACTAGTGCTCTTGACTCCAGAACCGCCAATTTTATGACGCGAAACTTTGTGAGTGGTGCCGGTTTTTGATGTACCCTTGTGCATCTGACAATGTTTTTGTCACTTTGCCGTGTTTTTTTGAACGCTTGTGCACTCTTTCTCTCCCCTCCACCCCCTTCATTAGCATACATCAAGCTTCTGACGACATGACAAACTTTATTTGAACATTCAAAGTGCTGAGGTCTTGCTGCTTTCAGCTGGCAGCTGTCAAAAACCCCAGCTAGTGACACATCCTGCATCGTGCAAAGTCAAATGCAGGCACAATCTGAAGACTATATATAGATGAAATAGTGTCATTTTAAGTGAGAATGGTGCAGAAAGGAGACTGCTGCTGTCTTTAAAATGGAGATTGGTTTATTAAACAACAAAGATTGCTTTTTAAAAAGGAAAGGAAGATGAAATTGTTCACTAGTCACATCGTTCAGTTGTGAAATCTGGATGCTTTTATGTGCAGTTCATTAGTTGATGGAAGTAAATCAAAAATAAAGCACAAAGCCTTACCCTCAAAGTGGCCCAGTGTTGCAGCTGTGATTGTAAGAACCTGTCAGAATTTATTGAAAAAGAAAACCTGTATAAATAAGTGGTTATGTCCCGGGGAATATACTGAGTGTCTTTCATGCCACAGTTAAGGATGTTTAAAGGAATAGTTTGCTGAAAAATAATCTGGGCTTAATTTGTGCTGGGACCTCTCAGTTTTCCGGTACCTGTTTGCATGGATCCAGAAGACGCATTTTGGGCAATTCTGACAAGAGCTAAATGGATGCCGTTCAACAGAATATTGGTTGTGATGACAGAAAGTGGAAGATTAGCAAAAAAAATTTATATTTAGGCTATGTCCACACGAAGCCAGAGCTTTCCCTATCCGATCTTTTTTTTCTCCTCGTCTCAAGAAATATCTGCGTCCACACGAAACCGACACATAACGATGTAGTATACATGCCAGACCAACATGTGGCGCTGTAATTCTGCCACAGAGATGCACTAAAAACAGAGAAGAAGACTTGGACTATGCGCATAAACCTTATACAAGGTTATACAAACGAACATGGAACAATATATTTATTAATCTGTGTCAATGTTAGTTAATAAAAAGTAGGGATGCACCGATACCACTTTTTCCAGTACTCGCCCGATACGATACTTTTATTTTTGGTACTTGCCGATACAGAGTGCTCAAGGGCACCTCAGTCGTGGTATTGAAGGTGGGAGAGAGCACTGTATATTCACTCTCCCCCACCTACAATCCCTGCCGGTACAAGACTCGAACCCGCAACCTGGGTTACGAGCCAACTCTCTAACCATTAGGCCACGACTTCGGATCCATATGGATTTGCTGTCCACACAAAAACACAAGAGTGGCGTTTTCAGATTTATCCACTCTGGGACCCGGTTTAAAAAAATACCGGTTTCACTCTCCCAAAACACCGAATCCGTTTGGACGAAACGCCTATACGTTACAAAATGTTTGCGTATACAGCTAAACACATCTCCGTGTGGACGGGACCTTATATGACCATTATATTTATGGCCCTTCCAGCCATAAATATGCTATTTGCATTAATGCAATATCAA